CTTAACCTCTTTGAACCCCAGTTCTCTTATTTACAGTGATACTTAGGTCAAGATGTTAATATGGTAGTCTTGGTGTCATGCCTGGCATGAAGTAGCTGCTCCATAAATAATCACTGTTAGTATGGCATGATGATAACTGCAGACCACACAGGCCTCGAGCAGTGAGCAGCAGCCCAATATTTACTATTGCTCTGGTAGCCTATACAGCCAAAGAGTCCACAAATTCCAAAGAGGAGCTCTGGAAAGTGTGAAAAGCCTCTGGACTCCAACGAAGCTCTTTGCTGGGCTCCCTGGGCAACAAGAAGGCATAATAATTGTCACCATCATCATTCTTACCATTAGAAGGTGCCACCTCCCAGACTCTAAAACTCATACATCCAGCTGGGAGAGCTACTGTTTCTCTGCAGGCAATCGATTAATAGAAACCTCATTTCTGTAGTGAACCAGAAAGCATTTGGCAATTTTAAAGGATTACTGATTAAACAAAAGTCATTCCTTTTCCTCCTTCCTGAATCCAATCCTCCCTCCCAACACACACACCCTCTACTCTTGGTACATGGAAGAAGAAAGAGTAACACATCTCCTCTAGACTCATCTTAAATTGACTACAGATGGTTTGGCTAATTCAGTTCAAAGTACATTCTTTTCTTGCCTATTCTGTTCACTTCACAAATGGGAAGTGGCCCTTGGAGTTAAATTTCTTTCTAAAGTTCCTATTGTATGACTGGGGGTAATTTCTCAACAATGGGCGGTGATGCTAAGATCTGTGGTTGCTCAAAAAGATGGAGGGGCTGGGCTGTGGTGGCTCATGCCTGCTATCCCAGCATTTTGGGAAGCCAAGGCGGGTGGATCATTAGATCACTGTTCTGGGATTACAGGCTATGAGCCACCACACCCAGCCTGAACAAGTCACTTTTGATGCTACCATTTCCACGTTTACAAAGTGAGAAGTAAATCAGTCAGAGTATTTTAGGTGCAAGCAACAGAAACAACTCTAGCTAGCCTGAGAGAAAAAAAAGGTAGAGGGTTAGTCTCCTGGAGAGATTTGGGGACCTCAAAGTAAAGATTATACAACGTGCCTCCAAAAAAGAAAGGGTCACCACAAGGGCAAATGCATGATTAGGGGTTGGGACTTTCATCCCCATCCCCCAACCTCTGGGGAGGACAGAGGGGCTGAAGGTCAAGTTGATCACCAATGGCCAGTGGTTTAATCAATCATGCCTACGTAATGAAGCCTCCATTAAAAACCCAAGAGGACAGGCTTCAGAGAGCTTCCTGATAGCCAGACATGCTGGGGTTCCTAGAAGGTGGCAGGCCCAGGGAGGACACAGAAGCTCTGCACCCCTTCCCATACCTCACCCTATGCATCTCTTCATCTGCAGCCTTTGTAATAGCCTTTATAATAAACCGGTGTGTTTCCCTGAATTCTTTTTGGTTTTTTATTTTTTGAGACACAGCCTGGAATGCAGTGGTATGATCATGACTCACTGCAGCCTTGACCTCCCAGGTTCAAGTGATCCTCCTGCCTCAGCCTCTTGAGTAGCTGGGACTAGAGGCTTGTGCCACCATTCCTGGCTAATTTTATTTTTTATAGAGATGGGGTCTCACTGTTGACCAAGCTAGTCTTGAACTCCTGGGCTTAAGCGATCCTCCCACCTTGGCTTCCCAAAGTACTGGGATTACAGATGTGAGCCACTGCACCTGGCCTTGCTTCCCTGCATTCTGTGAGCCCCTCCAGCAAATTAGTTGAGCCCAAAGAGGGTTGTGGAAACCCCAACTTAAAGCCAGTTGTCAGAAGTTCTAGAGGCTCAGACTTTTGACTGGTGTCTGAAATGAGGGCAGTCTTGGGGACTGAGCCCTCAGACTGTGGGATCTGATGCCATCTCCAAGTAGATAGTGTTGGAATTGAATTGGAGGACACCCAGCTGGTGTCCACTGCAGAACTGATTGTTTGCTTGCTGGTGGGGGTAAATCCCCTCATATTTTGGGGTCACACAAGTCTGTTGGGTGTTGATGACTGTTGTGGTGGTGTGAAAGCAGAGGAAAACATGGTTTGAGAATTTTTTCCTGAACAATGGGACTGTCAGTCAAGGTGGACCACCCTTTCTTGGCCCCACATCAGGTGAATCAGCCTCTCCTGGGAATTATTTTGAATGGTCTAGTGCAAGGACTGAAGAGGTTGGAGCTGACATCCCTGTTGCCGTGCTTGCAAGACATTGTCCACTTGGCTCCTCTAGCACCCCTCAGGGGCTTTTTTTTTTTTTTTTGGAGGCATGTTGTGTAATCTTTCTTTTGAGGTCCCCAAATCTCTCCAGGAGACTAACCCTCTACCTTTTTTTCCTCTCAGGCTAGCTAGAGTTGTTTCTGTTGCTTGCACCTAAAATACTCTGACTGATTTACTTCTCACTTTGTAAACGTGGAAATGGTAGCATCAAAAGTGACTTGTTCAGGCTGGGTGTGGTGGCTCGTGGCTCATATCCTGTAATCCCAGAACTTTGGGAAGCTGAGGTGGGCAGATCATTTGAGGTCAGGATTTTGAGACCAGCCTGGCCAACATAGTGAAACCCTGTCTCTACTAAAAATACAAAAATTAGCCGGTGTGGTGGCACATGCCTGTAATCCCAGCTACTCGGGAGGCTGAGGCAGGAGAATCACTTGAACCTGGGAGGCAGAGGCTGTGGTGAACCCAGATTGCGCCACTACACTACAGCCTGGGTGACAGAGCAAAAAAAAAAAAAAAAAAAAAAAGATTTGTTCAAGGCCACACTATGAGAACTTTGGGCACAAGTTTAAGGCTACGTCCTTCAGGAAGAAATGATCCTCAATCAATGGCCACAAAGGTAGGGTAAATCTTCCTAGGTTAAGTTCACCCTATGTGTGTGAGACAGAAATAGAATGAATAATGGTGTTGGAGATGGCGGTCCCAGATGCTCCTAACAGTCAAACCGTAACTCTGAGTCACAAATGTGAGTTTCAATTCTGGTCATTAGACCAGCAGAGTTTTGAGAGGCCCAGGACCATGCTCTTAGCACTTTAGGCTTGAGGAGGAATTCTGAAAAGGAGAAGGAGGTGGGGCGTGGTGGCTCATACCTGTAATCCCAGCACTTTGGGAGGCTGAGATGGGTGGATCACTTGAGGCCAAGAGTTCAAGAATGGCAAAACCCTGTCTCTACTAAAAATATAAAAATTAGCCGGTTGTGGTGGTGCACGCCTGTAATCCCAGGTACTCACACACGAGTATCTCTTGAATTCTGAAGTCCCAGCTTGAGTCCTGAAGTCCCAGCTACTTGGGAGGCTGAAGTTGGAGGATAGCTTGAGCCTGGGAAGTGGAGGCTCCAGTGAGACAAGATTGCATCACTGCACTCCCACCTGAGTGACAGAGCGAGACTCTGTCTCAAAACAAACAAACAAAGCAAAAACCGGCTGGGCACAGTGGCTCATGTCTGTAATCCCAGCACTCTGGGAGGTTGAGGCAGGAAGATTGCTTGAGGCCAGGAGTTTGAGACCAGCTTGGGCAACATAGCAAGACCCCATCTCTAAAGAAAAACCAAAACTGATAGTCTGAGGGAATGGACCACATATGCTAATAATGGTTCTAACCTCTAACAAGGGACAATAGCCATGGGCCACCGGACCATAAGGAGAGGATCCATATTGGACTTCTTCACCACTATGTCCATAGCACTTGGCACACAGTAGGTGCCCAATACACATTTGCTGAATGAATGAATGGGCTGGTCTTCTATGTGGTTTTCTGGACCCAGCAGCCAAATGGCTTTGTTACTAAGGGACTGAGTCTTTAGCTTTGCATCCTGGCCTCACCCTTGGGGACCAAATGGTGCCTGCTTGCTTAGTGAACAATGTCTGGAAAACAGGAGGAGTGACTGCAATATCTTCCCAATATGACATTTACTCAGCAGCAGCTGTGGTGCAAGGAACAAAAGGTTCTTGCCCTGTAGGACTGCAGCCTAAATGACAGAAAACAAAACAAGCGTCTGGCAGCTTTCCTGTGTGTGGGGGTGTTGTGTGTTTGTTTCTTGTGTTAAGGAACAGAGAGGGAACAGGACACTCACTATCTTGGATTTATAACAAGAATGGGAATGATTATTTCCTTTTTTCTCTCTCTCTTAAACACACGGTTTCACTCTGTTGCCAAGTCTGGAGTGCAGTGGTGTGATCATAGCTCACTGCAGCCTCCAACTCCAGGGCTCATGTGATTCTCCTGTCTTAGCTGCCTGAGTAGGTGGGACTACTGGCGCATGCCACCACACCCAGTTAATTTTTAAAATTTTTTGTACATACCAGCGGCGTGGCAGGGAGTCTCACTATGTTGCCCAGGCTGGTCTTGAACTTCTGGCCTCAAGTGATCCTCCAGCCTCGGCTTTCTTTCTTTCTTTTTAGACAGAGTTCCGCTCTTGTTGCCCAGGCTGGAGTGCAATGGCGTGATCTTGGCTCACTGCAGCCTCTGCTTCCCGGGTTCAAGCGATTCTCCTGCCTCAGCCTCTCGAGCAGCTGAGCTTTAAGGCATGCGCCACTACACTCGGCTAATTTTGTATTTTTAGTAGAGACGGGTTTCCCCATGTTGGTCAGGATGGTCTCGATCTCCAGACCTCAGGTGATCCACCCGCCTCGGCCTCCCAAAGTGCTAGGATTACAGGCGTGGCCTTTCTTTCTTTCTTTCTTTCCGTTTCTTCCCCTGGGGAGAGGGGAGCACCTAGGAGGAAATGTGTTAAGACCTAAAGGCGGTTCCTTTCTGCCTGGCTGGTCTGAATTCCCTGGTTTTGGAGGCAGCCTCGGGTGTTCCCCGGTTTAATGGCAGGGGCGGTAACCTCGTTCCCAACCCCCAGGGCGGGAGCAGCGTTGACTGGGAGTGCAGCTGTGGGGCTGGGACGCCCGGTGTCCTGAGCACCTGGAGAGCAGCGCGTGCGCAGTCCGCTTGACTCCGTGGCGAAGGCATCGAGAACTTTCGGGACCTTTACAGAAACAGCCGCACACCTTCAAGCAGCCTATATATATTGTATTTCGAGTTTAGCCCAAGCCAGGTCTCCCTGAACTCCCACCTCCTGCAACCTCCGCCCGCCCCCAGTCCTGGGAAGCCGCCCTGTTAGAGATCACCCGCCCGAAAAGCGCCCCGCGTCCCCAAAGCCCTGCCCGCCCGCGGCCGGGAGAGGGCGCGCTCAGCAGTTGAGGCTGAGCACGCGGCAGGAGCAGGCACTGCGGAAGAAGCGGCACTGGCAGGAGGCGCACGGGTCGCAACAGGCGGGTGCGGGCGGCTTGCAGCTGTCGCGGGTGGCCACGCAGGGCGCAGAGAGCGGGGTCCGGGGCCGCGCCACTTTCTTCATCGAAGCCTCCTTCTGCGTGGGAAACGCCGGGGCTTTATGAGCCAGCCACGCCAGCCCCTCGCGTCCTCACCTGTGCCTGGGAGCTCCTCGGGCTAGGGAGGTCCCGGACCAGAGGTTTCCCCGCCCGATTGCCCACCGCCCACCGCCCGCTCCCCCAGTCTGATTCCTTCACCTCCATCCCCATCCAGACTGACCTGGCTCTTGGCTGGCCCTGGCCCTCTTCTCCCTACTTTTTGTTTTGTTTTGTTTTTTAGACAGAGTTTCACTCTGTCACCCAGGCTGGACTGCAGTGGCGCGATCTCGGCTCACTGTTCCTGGGTTCAGGCGATTCTGCCACTTCAGCCTCCCAAGTAGCTGGGACCACTGGGACCACATGTGTGCGCCACCACGCTTGGCTAATTTTATTTTTATTTTCATTTTCTTATTTTTTATAGACAGGTCTCACTTATTGCCCAGGTTGGTCTCAAACTCCTGGGCTCAAGGGATCTGCCTGCCTCGGCCTCCCAAAGTGCTGGGATTACATTACAGGCGTGAGCCACCGTGCCCGGTCTAAGTAGTCTCTCTTTTAACTTAAAAGGAAACAAGAACTTTCTTTTGGCCTTTGAGATTTGGCCCTTGCCTGCCTCTCCAACCCGTGTTAACTTTGCTGCCCCACTGTGCACCGAGTGCAGCAGGTGAGTTCCTGCTGCGGGAACCCAGCAGGAGCTGTCTTGGACACTGCTGTCATAGCTTGTTGCTTCCTTTCCTGGGAAGGAAATAGCCGTTGGGTTTTGTACCTTCGATACAGGTAGCCAGTGGTCATATGTGGCTACTGAGTACGTGAAATGTGTTTAGTGCGACCTAGAAACTGAATTTTCAAATTTAATTTTAATTAATTGAAATGTAAAATGTAAAACTGAAGCAATATAAAAATATTTTTCCCCTTAAACACAACTTTTTAGTTAGA